ATAAGAAACTCTTACAACTCAATAGCAATAAAACCAAACCAATTTAAAAATTGGTAATGTATCTGAATAGACATTTTTCCCCCAAAAATGATATTCAAATTATCAACAGGTACATGAAAAGGTGCTCAGCATCACTAATCATCAGGGAAATGCAAATCAAAACCACAATGAAATAACACCTCACAGCTGTTAGAATGGCTGTATCAAAAATACAAGATATAATATGCTGGTGAGAATATGGAGAAAAAGCAACCCTTACACACTGTTGGTGGGAATGTCAATTGGTGCAGCCACTATGGAAAACAATATGGTCTTCAAAAAATTAAAAATAGAACTACCAGCAATTCCACTTCAGGTATATATTAGAAGGAAATGAAGTCAGTATCTTGAAGAAATATCAGCACCCCCATGTTCACTGCAGCATTATTTGCAATAGCCAAGCATATTAACAACCTAAATGTCCATCTATGTATAAATGGATAAAGAAAATGTGGTAAATATATACAATAAAATGTTATTCAGTCATAAAAAGGAAATCCTGCCATTTGTGTCAACATGGATGAGTCTTGAGAACATTATGCTAAGTTAAATAATCAGATGGAGAGATGAATACTATATAATCTCACTTATACATGGAATTTGAAAAAACCCACACTCATAGAAACAGAAGAGATCAGTGGTTGCCTGCGGCAGGCAGGTAAGAAGTGGGTAAATGCATGAAGTTGGTCAAAAGATACAAACTTCCAATTATAAGATGAATAAGTTCTGGGGACATAATGTATATTATGGTGACTGTAAGCTAACAATACTATGTTGAAAGATACAAAAAGAATGTTTTAAAAGTTCTCGCCATAAAAAAAAATTGTTTTAAAGATGTGAGGTGATAGATATGTTAACTAACTTTATTGTGTTAATCTTTTTTCACTACAACCTATATTAAACCATTACATTATATACCTTAAACTTTCACAATCTTATCTCAACTATATCTCAATAAATCTTGGGGGGAAGAAAGCAATTTTTTTATTATTTACATGAAATGTTCCCTTTCTACTTAATTTTTTCAGTTCCTTTATACAGGCCTCTTGAGAATAGGTGTTCCTACCAGTGAGATGGAGCTAACTACACATCAGCAGGTGTCACTCCCTAACTGATCCTTCTCAACTGTCCTTCTCTGTCCATTTCAGGTGGTTATTTTTTTTCTGAAAAATTTAACTGCCTTTTCTTTATTACCAATTTCATTTTCCATTTTTCAACCTCTGATGAGCCTCCAAAGACTAATATTTTTCACTTTGTGGGTATAAGGACTGTACTACAAGATATGCTTTCTTTTTGAATGCCAGCCCCAATGCAGATATCTGTATGGTTTACAGAGCCACATGGAACATTTTTCTGCTATATGGCTATGACTTTGCAATAGAAATATACCTGTTATCACTTTTTTTTTCTGACAAAAGGCGCAGTTTTAGTTCATGAGACAAGCACTGGATAGAATTTGGTACTCTTTCAACAACATTGAGCAAATATTGATTGTCTACCATGTACTGAGCACTGTTGTGGAGATCAGAAGTTGTAAAACAGGTAGAAAGTCTTACCTTCATGGTCCTTATATTCTAGACAGACAGAACAAAAAATAATTATAATATATAATATGTTGCATGGTGATAGGTGCTCTGGAAAAATAGAGAGTAGAGAATGCCTAGGGGTGCTTGCAATTTTAAAAAGGTATTCAGCCCAACCAGCGTGGCTCAGTGGTTGAGGGTCCACCTATGAACCAGGCGGTCATGATTTGATTCCTGGTCAGGGCATATGCCGGGTTGTGGGCTCGATCCCTGGTAGGGGGTGTGCAGGAGGCAGCCAATCAATGATTCTCTCTCATCATTGATGTTTCTATCTCTCTCTCCCTTTACCTTCATATCTGAAATCAATTAGATTGATTTCAGATATTTATATATAATAAAATTTATTATTTATATATATATATATAAAATCAATTTTAAAAAATGTTTTCAGAAAAGCTATCATTGTGAAGGTGGTGACATCTGAGTCAAGAGCTGATGGAAATGAGAAAGTCATGTGGATATCTGGGGCAAGAACTTTTCAGGCAAAGGGAACACCTAGTGCAAAGGCGCATGTAGGCTGTCACAGCTGTCAGAAGTTTTACGGTAAGCATCTGCCAGGGACAAAAATTCAGGCAAGGCTTTTCTTGTTGCTATAAAGAATCCACCTACATTGAGAGCTTAATCAGCTTAAGATGAACATCAGTGTGGATCTGTTTAGTGTTTTCTATCAGCCATGACCTCATTGCTAATACTGACAGCCTGACAGCCTCTTAGATTCAGATGGGCCTTGGATGAACAGCCTGGCAAACCTGGATGAAACTAGAAAAGAGATGTTTTAGTAGCTCTGTAGCTCCAATGATTTTTTTTATCTCATCCCCTCTTCACATGGGGCTGCATATTAATCAAATGTAGCCAATGATTCCAAGTTTTCATTTAAACCTAAAATATAGTCCATTACCATTTATGAACTAGGAAGTATGTATAACATAATTCTACTTCAGATTAGCTAATGGAGATTCTTGTCCCACAGACAAGACATGGGCTACTGAGAACAAAGGTATTTCCTATGCCACCAAATTGTGTTTTCAATGTTGTCTTCTAGTCAGACAACACAGTAAAGAGATCTTACTAACATTAAGTCTTATGTAGACTTTTTAGGGATCGTTACAACAGAGATAATCTGCGCTGGGCCTATCCATCTCACAGCTGGCATAGTAGTGTTACAATGCTCTTCCAGCCCAGCAATCCACACCTCTTTCAACGGGGTTTCCAATTTACTGAGAACATTTTCCTAAAGTTTCCATTATCCCCCTGGAGATCCTTAATAAGAATAAAATATTAAGAATTCAACAAATGGTCATTTGAAAGCAGACAATAGATTTATTTTAGTTCACTTTTGATTTGTTTGGAGACTGAATTTCTTACACATGAAAATCAGTACCTATTTCATGAGAATATAGATTAAGAGACAACCAAGGTGGCTGTAGCAAAGAGAAGGTGATTGAACACCCAAATAGGTCACGATGACTTATCATAGTGAAAATAGTATTAACTGAAAATAGTATTTTGTGATCATACTACAGGGGCTGGCAAAAGTAGGCTTATAGTTATAGAATACACAAAACACAGATCTTATTCTTTTATTATGATTTATTAATTATTGTACTATTTTCCATATGAACAATTGTAAACCTACTTTTGCCTACCCCTGTAGTTCTCTGTGTAGGTCGTTCAGATTCCCTTTAAATGTCTGACTTAAATTAGCTATAGTAGACTTGAACAAACACAGAAAGCCTTAAAAAGGGGCCAGGTTGTTGTTTTAAATCAAAATCAAGTACTGATCATTATTGACTCTGGCTTGGTATAAATTCAGAATTACTGTAATCTAATGTGTTGAGGTTGTTCCATATTTATTTAGGAGTGGACAGAGATGACATTTCTATAATGAAACCATGCTGTATTCAAACCAACAACTTAGAGATTTACCAGCATTTTTTTTTACACCTTTACATCTGTCAAATCTTTTGTTCTCGATATGCTGAAAAAGTCACTGGAAACAAGCAAGCCACTTATCACTCTTTTTCCTCAAGAAAGAATGCACTTTCCGAATTAATGAGTAACTTTAATTTTAGATGGAAACAGTGACACAACAGGTCAATTATACTGAATTTGAAAGAGTAAAGTCTTTTCTCTGTTTAAAATTAAAACAAGCTATTCTGGAAAGCAAATAATATATATATATATCTTATATATATATATATGGGCTGTCTTCACTTGTGAAATTTCTTTTGAACTAATGGGAACTTATCTTACAGATGAGATTTGCAGACTAGTGACAATACAAACATGTACTCCACAGCTGTAGGCAGTGATGTGCTAGAGCAGAGGGCTTACTCACAAACTCAGGTTCGTCCACCTGGGTTAGATGCTTAGCCCTCCACTTACTAGCCTAGTAATCCCAGGCAACACATTTAGCCTTTTTTCGGCTCAGCTGAGAACACAATGGGCCCAATAATAGTGTCTACTTGTGGACTATAGGAGGACCGAATGAGTTAACACATGACACCTTCTTACAACAGTGACTGGCACATAGTGAATGTTCAATAGATGTTAATTATTCTAGTGTGCGATAAAGTGAGAAGCTATCACTAGTCTCTTAATAGGATGAAGTATTGGGTGCAATTCTAGTATTTATATTAGGGTTGTTTCATGCACTTTTTATAGAACCAAGTATGCTTTCTGGTCTGGCCGCTTAAGGAAGCAGAGAAGGATGGCTTCTCTAAGTGAAACTGACCCCTGCATACAGTGCCTGAAATCAGAGGAAGCTTGTCAGTGTGGGCAGACACAAGAGTAGACCAATGTGACTTCCCACTTCTCTTTTTTTTTTTTATCTCAAGGAAATTAATAGAGGGTACTACAGTACCCTTAAATTAATTGTTCCCGATTAATTAAGGTTTAAAACCTTGGTTTATGGTAGAGTTTCTGATAGTCATCTAAAATCACTGCGGTCATCCAAAAATCTTTGTATCTCTTCAGTTTCACTGTAGAATAAAAACTAAATTTATCACAGTGGGTTGTTACAGTAAGTCTGGTATTTATTTCTCCCAAGAGGCCATTTGCTTCTGGGGAAAGGCAACAGGGTGCCGTCCATTAATATATCTAACTGAGGGTGTAATGGCGTCGTACAATTCCACATTGACCCCTGCAACTCAGAGTTATTGTCTCGGAACATAAAATTTCATTACCTCATTTCACTGCATAACTACCAATGTGAGGATAGGCTGTGGAAGTAGCAGCCCATTGTTCAACCCAGTATTCAGACACTGCTGCTTCGTTTCCTCAGTCTACTCGCCACGAAAACTAAGATATTCCTGAAATCAAATAAGCATGGATTCTGCTGGTGCCAACTCCAGAACATCCTACCAGAAACAGGTGTACCTCAAAGTCAAGTTTGCCTCAGTCTCAAGTTGTACAATCGGCCGCTGGCGGGTGGAGTCCTCCCAACCCGCCTACGGAGGCGTGCGCCCGTCTGTGTCTGTGGGTGTCGGGGCGCGCGCAGACACTCGGGGACCCACTTTCCCAGGGCAGCCCAATCAAAGTCCCTCTCTCACCTCTAAGGCTGTCAACTCTCACGCCCCGCCCCGCGCGTTCAGCCCCCTCCTCACTCTCCCACCGCCCCGCCTCCAAGGCAGAACTCACCACTATCATTGGTAGCTGCTTCTGTCACTCCTATTCTTGAACCAATCACTCGAATTCTGGTGGGAGGCGGAAGAGCCAATGGGAAGGCCCGTTGCGGGCGCTGCCGGGTCCCGAGCACCGGGAGGCGGGCCCGGGGGCGGGGCACGGGTGGGGGAATTAGTTGCCATTTGGAGTGAGCAGCGAGCGGGCTGAGGCGGCGGCGGTGGCGGTGGCGTTTGCGGTGGCGCGGGCTCCGCGGAGACTCGGCTACCCCCCGGGCCCTTAGCCCCCACCCGGTCCCCAGAAGCAGAAACCCCGGCCCTCCCTGCAGCCGCGGGCCTTTCCTGAGCGTGCAGCCCGCCTGGCTGCCGGCGGCCCCCGGGCTGCGGGATCCGGACGGTTGCCTCTCTCCCCTGTCAGCGCGATGCCCCGGGCGGCGGCTGCAGGCTCCTCGCGGCCGTGACCGCCGCACCGAGCCTGCCCGGGCGGTTGGGGCCGTTGGACGTTTGTTTTCGCAGCCTTCCCCTCCCCCTCACCAAGGCGGTGGGGTGCGCGTTGGGAAGGGGGAGCCGAGAGACTCCTCCTCCTCCCGGTACCCCCGCCCCTCCCCCTTACACACTCGCACGCACCGCCGCGCCGGCTCCCACACGCTCGCGCGCCTCCCGCCCCGCGCCTCCGTGTCCGCTGGCGGCGTCCGGGGCCCGCGGAGCCACCATGTCCACTGCCTCCTCCTCCAGTTCCTCCCAGACCCCTCATCCCCCGCCGCAGAGGATGCGGCGCAGCGCCGCCGGCTCCCCGCCCGCCGCCCCCGCCGCGGGGAGTGGGAACGGTGCGGGCGGCGGCGTGGGCTGCGCCGCGGCTGCGGGCGCCGGGCGGCTGCTGCAGCCCATCCGCGCCACCGTCCCCTACCAGCTCCTGCGGGGCAGCCAGCACAGTCCCACGCGCCCGCCCGCCGCCGTCGCCGCCGCCTCGCTGGGCAGCCTCCCGGGGCCCGGCGCGGCCCGCGGCCCCAGCCCGTCCAGCCCGACGCCGCCGACGCCGGCCGGGGCCCCCACCGAGCAGGCGCCGCGAGCCAAGGGCCGCCCGCGACGGTCCCCCGAGAGCCACCGGAGGAGCAGCTCACCTGAGAGAAGGAGCCCGGGCTCGCCCGTGTGCAGAGGTAGCGAGCCCAACCCTTCCGTCCTCCCGGGCGGGCGGCGTCCCCTCGACGGTGCCCGGCGCGGAAACGGCAGCCTCCCCGGGCTCGCTAAGCTAGTGCCTTCGCCCAGGTGTGAACGCGGCTCGGGGAGCCTCACCCTCTGCGGTCGCTGCGGGGATCGGCGGAGCGGACTGCGAAGCAACTTTTCTTTAAGGCCCCCTCCCCCTGCCGCCCCTCGGGTTTGATCTTGCATCCCTCACCTGCGTGCAGGGGCTTTTTCAATATAAGGAGCTGATTAGCTCACTCATGTGTTTGCTGTTTGCAGCGGGGGACGGAGAGGAGTTGGGCGAAACACTTAGGAAACACGCATACAAACTCTGCAGCAGCCTCTTTGTGCTTTCCTGCAAAGTTCCTAATGTCTCTGGCTCCCGGGATGGTTCTTTTTTCTTTCCTTTCTTTTTCTTTTTGGAGGGGGGGGCTGGCGTTAGTTGTGATGTAAGGATATTTTTTGGGTAAGGGGACAGTTTGGGGATGTGCAATTGAAGCGTATAGTGTTTTGTTTTGCTAATCCCCCCCCCCCCCCCCCGTCTCTACCCTATATAGTCCTATGCATCAGAGCAGTGCTTCACTGGAAACAGTTTATGCCCAGCTCAGCATTTTCATGGTAAATTTTAAAGACCTGTTTGTGAAGTGTGTGCTCAGTTTTTCCTCCCATTTTTAAGCGCACTTCGCAGTTCAGTTGAGCTGTTACAGGATCTCAAGTTTCTTTTTTTGTTGGGTGTCAAAGGTAATGGTGAGTTGGATGCTGTTGGCTTCCCTTAAGGTTTTCTGTTGTAGTTTGGTTTTGTTTTATGTCTAGGGACACGGTGCATGATGTAGTGGAGTCACCGGGGAGAAAAGGAAGATTAGCCAAAGCAGGGAGTTAAAGCTCATAAGGGAGAGGAGAGCAGCTAATATTATTAGACCCCAGGCTAGAGCTACAGATGCCGCCGCTGCAGCATTGTGGAGAGAACAGATCAGACTAAGTGGAAAATCTGCTGGGAAGAGAAACACTGCGGAGCTCTCTGTGCAATGTTTATGTGGTATGTGGGATATTTTTATGGAGTTTCCTCGACGAGGGTCTTAGACTTGGAGAAAGTGGCTGTGTTGTGATAGATTACAGTTTTGGTGTTTTTTGTTTTAATATTTCTGACCTGTAATTAACATGTTGCTAAGGCACTTGTTTTCAGACCACTTGATGGTGAGGCAAGGTAGGATGCAGTAGCACTGGTATGTGTACATGAGCACCAAGAAATGCATCCTGTAATCTGTATGCACCAGGAGGAATTTGCTCCCCCACTCCTCCCCCAGGTCAAGCCAGCTGCTGCAGAAACTGACATCCTCCAGCAAATCCTGAATGAATGAATGAAAACAACGTGATCGCCCTAATAATGACCACCACTGAACACACATCTTTGGCTGTATTTTATAGAAAAGGCCACCATTTTCTAACAGATTAATGCCATATGCAACTCTCTTGCACATTTTCTACAGCTATATAAAATGAGAGGTCACAGAATGAAAAGAAGGCAGCAGTTACATACATTTTTGAATGATTGAGCTTCAACAGGGTACAGATTGAGTTTTGGGCTTTTCTTTTAAGCACTAATATGAGAGCCATAAAATAAGCATTCCAGACAGATTGTGTACAGAGGGTTTTGTGGGCAGAGTACGAGCAGTTTCGGCAATTGCTACAACAATATAATGGCCATCCAGTACCTCCTCCTCTTTTGTTGATAAACACTAACATCTTACAACAGATCATAGTACAACTTGTTTTTCCGCATCCTTCAAAAGCCTTAATTGCTTAGGAATTACATGGTCCATCATCAGGCAGTTTTAATGAAATTTGTGATCAGGCTTAAACTATCCTCTTTGTTGTAGTATGGCACATCCGAGTTTAATGCAATTTTAATGCAATCATGATGAAAACACTTCTGAGTTTGGGTGTCCGATGGACAGATTTGCATCATCAGAGAGCTTGTACTGGGAATGGAAGAGGCTTTTCTGCTGGTTTTAACACCAGGTGATTTTGTCAGTTTCTAACATTGAAGTGATTTTGAATGCAGACTCTTCTGCCCCCAGTCTCCTAATCATATTACCTATATGTTACTTCTCCACGTCTAGCTGGGCTAGAGAGCTACCCATATTAAAACTATACAACTATTCTGTTCTGTTTACTTAGCCATTTAAAATCCTTCCTATGAATAGTTGGACAATTTCTCAAACGATTACTCAGTTTCTTTTGAATTCTGCAAGGTTCTGACTTCAGTGGAATTTAGTCTCCACAGGTCAAGGTTCCTGCTGCTGCCTCTGCTGCTGCAGACACTGACATCACTATACTGCATGAATGAAAAACAACAACGTGCTCCATCTCTGGCTCTGCACTCCCTTTTCTGCACACTGCTTTGGTGTGTGTGTGTGTTTAGATGGTGTTATGCTGGGTATGAAACTACATTTAAAAATGTTAAGTAAATGGTGGCCCAATATGTATCGACTATAGAGACATATTGTTTACAAAAAGCTCTAAGTGCTCTGAGCATTTGGACTCGAGGTGACATAACTGAGCATTCAGTATTTTTTATCTGGACTGGTTGTTATGGAAGAAAATATAGCTTTAAATAATTTTCTTTGGAATTGTCTTACCAGGAAGAAATTATGAAACAATATAATTTCTAAACATGTTAGCTCATTGTTATATCCTCTTAAACATTTTTAATATGCATAGTTATAGGGTTAAGGCTAGAGTTATAAAAATGGTATTTAGATTGTTTTCACTAGGCTAAGGAAAAGCTGAATTTTTAAAATAGGTGCATTTGAATTTAATATGATATTATTTTATAAAATACAGCAAGAAGATGGTAATTTCCTTTATTTTTATAGCAGTTTTAGGCTATTTAAATGGGTATTATAACAGATACATAAATTTCCAAACACACTTTGCTTCTACAGAAAGGACATGGAGTTTTACAAATTGCAGAGGAATCATATTTTTGTATTTTTAAAAATTCTCTTGTATTTTTAAGCCCTCAAGGTTTTTATTTATATTCATCTCTTTACATCTGCCATTAGCAAAATGTCAACCTCCCCTTGTTTGGTTCTGAAGAGTCTTGAAGTGGTGAATGACAAGCTACTGAATGCATCCTCAGGCTCCCTGTGATGTGTTTGTAATAGATGTAAAAATCATAAAGTATTATGCAAATAGTTATTTTTTGTAATGGTAATACATAAAGTCTACCTTTGAGATAAATAGAACAACAAATGAGAATATAAAAGGATGTAGTGTTAAAATTAATGATCTTTAAACTAAAATCATCAGTGACAACCAAAAGAAAATATAATAAAGTTGTTTCTTTCTGAAACCTCATACAGTAAAACCTATGGATTTAAAAACAGAACAAATACAGTTTTTACTGTGCTAGATAGTAGGCAGCACTTGAAAATCCTCTGGTGATTTTCGTAAAGATTGAGCATTAGAATGAATTACAAATTCTAAAAGATATGAAAACATTTGTATTGGAGTACTCTGGGTGGAGAGTACTGCTTATGTTTAAGTGTACCAAATCTAGTTAACAAAAACATGGAAGAGCTTGTCGTTTATATAGCTCCTGCTTTGGAAAATAGCATGTGTTGATTTCTGGTTTAACATAACAGATTTATTTAGGCCTGGTTCTCTTAGCAGATTACTAATTCTAGAGTGAAATTTGATTAGAATTTTTCATGAGTATCTTGAGGGCCTTACTGTCTTATACATTAAGAAGTTACGATTATATTTTAAAAAGAAAATGCAAAGCCAACCAGCATGTAATGTTGAAAGACTGCATGCAATGTGTGTGTCTGTGTGTTTTAATCAATTAATTTGCTTTCAGTTTTTTTATATCTTCATTAAATTTCCTTTTATGAGTCATTTTATGCTGTGCTTAGTTTGTGGAATGCCAATATTTTAAATTACTTT